TTAAGAGTTCATGTGTATTATGGTAAGAGTTCATGTGTATTATGTTAAAATTAAAGTTTATGTGTAGTATGTATTATGTTAAGATTATGTGTATTATGTTAAGATTATGTGTATTATGTTAAGAGTTTATATGTATTATACTATATAATTATATACATACAAAACAAGAGATTTTGAGGGTGCACAAAATAACAATTGAGTCTAAACATGGTCCTATATATGTGCTGGGAGACAAAGGCGGTCATCTTTGGAAAGCCATGACTGTCCACATGGATGGTCGATGGTCATCTGATCTTCTTAAAAATAATAATAATAATAATAATAATATGTACACTTTAATCCACGTAATCTACTAAATAGGTTGTTTTGGACTCAATTGTAAAAATTTTCTTTTTTTATTTGACTCTTTTTAAAGACAGTTTAACAAACCTTTGTGGCTCTATCGAATCTTAACGGGTGTTGATGGATGATGCAGTTGGAATGTTGCGACCTCGACAAGTGCGTATTTCAAGAAATTATTAGTTCTATTGGGGTGTTCCACTCTTCTTGATTAAAAAAAATTGTAGACATAGTCAAGTTACCACATAAATTATTTTTATTTTAAATATTTCTTAGTTATTTGTAAGTAATTCACGGTCGAAATCGCAATGCATAAAGTGGTTACTAATTGTGGCACTTAATGCCAAGTACAAGATGATAGGAAGTTGCTTACAAGAGTCAACATCATTTGTAAGCATCATAGGATGACAACATGAGGAAAGAAGCCAGCAATGTGGTACTCCAAATCCGATCCTATGAACCTGCAGAGACTGCTATCTATTATATTGCACCATAAAATTAAACCCTGTCATGTGCTCTCAAAGATACACCACTAACTTCAAATGCTTCCAACAGGAACAATTCGAGAACCAAACGTCCCAGTGAATAAGATCTTGCATTCATGACACGAAAACAAGGAGTCCCGCTTGAATGAAGATATAGAAGAGTTTGGGGTGGGTACTGGTAGATATCGAACTGAAATATAATGCACATATATTTGTTGTGGACAAGTAGGCTGATTTTAGGTTTTCGCGAATTCAATTATATACATTATATGTGTTGCGATTAATTCCATGGTAGTCTTGCAAGTCCTAAACCGGGTTAATATATTAACAAGAAATATATTGTTCATGTTCATGTTATTCTTATATTTTTCTTAGAGCTAGTCCTCACATGCTCAAAGTGTGAATTTGAAATTTGTCGTGACTCGAATACGGTTAAGAGTCAGAAGCCTGCTCGAAAGGTTTCTCATCCATTACCGTTCTATCTAGGGTTGTAATTTAACAAAATACTACTTTATCATTATCAAAATAAAATGCTTTGAAGCTCTACTTACATAGAATAATAGAGGATGACAAGATGAGAAAAAACAGCCAAATAATGTTGAGTTGATCTGATAGACATCCTTAGATTTTAGTGTTTGTAGACTTTCTTGATTCGCTGTCTCACTTATCCAATTGAATTGGGCATCTCGTGGATTGTCATTATACATTGGACATTAATTTCCTACTTGCGTTGCGCTACGCCATTTGATGCGATTAACTCTTTAATAATGCACCCAGCTGCCACATTCACAGACAATCCTCTAGGTAAACACAACCTCATTTGGGATTTGCGTTATTGGAATTTCTATGCACCAAACTTTCCAATTATTCCTCAGAATGTTGGTAAATTAAACACCCACCCTATCATAACCTAAGCTAATTAACCCTTTAAAAAGAGAGTTTCTAATGTCAAAAATCGATTTTTTTTTTTTTTTTTGACATGGCAACATGTAGTATTATTTAATGTTAGTTATGAAAGATAGTGTTGGTTTAACCTGATGATAGAGTTGCATCAGACGTACTAGTACTAGTAGATCTACACGAAAATATATTTTCTCGATTTAATAATCACGTTCTTATGTATGTTCGAGTTATGAGACTTGCACACTAAAAATCGATAATCACTACTATTATATGCATAGTCAATACAACTACCGTTCAACATTTTAGGACATAGTTATTTTCTTCGGCATTGGCACCGCTACTTTTGCAACACACCCTCACTTTCAAGTATTGATAGGAAGGTCTCAAACCTTTTCAAAACTTGTAAGGAGTCTTATCGAGTTTCTCGCGGAGTACCTTATTTAAAAGGTAGTTACTTGACAAAATAACCTCATGTCACGTATTTTGGGGTAAACCTTAATTTATCAATATTGCATCATCATTTCTTTTAATGTGTCGTACGCTCATGTACAATACTACTTTGCACTCAATAATCACCAATTTATGTTTCATACTCACCACCTCATCACTTTTAATTGCTTTAATTACTTCTTCAATTAAGTTGGGTTTTCACTTTATTATTATAAAGTATGAATTTATCAACGATTTTGTCTTTGCATTTAAACAAATACACATAACAATATTGTGTGCTATCGTTGATAAATGTAATAAAATATTGATTACCACTTCACATTTGTATTGATTTAAAATAGCATACATAACTATAAATTAATTCAAGTGGTCATGTTTACCTTTCAATCGATTTAAAATGAATTCTTGTTAATTTTGCCTCAACACAAATTTCACATTTGTGATTATTGTTAATTTGGAATGTAATATGGAACAAAGACTACTTAAAAGCATTTTCAACTCTATTTTTTCAAATTCAAATGCGTATACTTTGAGAATCAATTTTTCATTCTCTCATTATAAGCATATAATATATCAAATTCATTATCTCAATTAGAAGAACATGACTCCACTTTGACTCAATCCAAATCGAATGTGAACCCTTAGAAATTATACAACAAAATGACCACTTCAATTAATTTTTCCAACAATATTTATTCCAAAATATTCAAATTTAATTTACTTCAACCATATCTTTACTTGGGCACATAACTTGGCCAACCTGAAAACTCAATTTTGTTCCATCTTTGGACGATATGATGCAAGTGTGATAGGAGTACATATTATACGTCAACAACAATTCTAACCCATATTATATTCTTAGCTAGAGTTAAAACGTACCCTCAGCTCATGTGGTCCAACGTAACGTATAGTAACAACGTTGAATTAACATTAAATTAAATGTAGAATATATACTACTTGTCATATGTCAAATTAAAGACAGGTGGCCGGGCAATATATATGATTTGAGCATGCTATATGTAATATGTATATATATCCCAGTCCCAGATCAGATCTCTCTTAGCTATTTTCACTACCTTTTTCTTGGGACCTAAACCAAGAACTTGTAACTCATCATCAGATATATATATTAGTAGTGGATAATATATAGAGACGAATCCAATCTTCTCCTTTGCTTTCACGTAAAGATAATTTGAGGAACTCAAAGAGATGGAAAGTTAGGGTAGATGTGGGTGTGCCATCCCAAAAGGGACCACGTCCGATCCTCAACTTTTCCCATCCCTTGCCTAGCTAGCTACTCCGATCCAAGTTTCTGTACTTGTATTGTTAATTAGTACGGATCGGAGTAAATGTTATTTGCCCCAATTTTGGTTGGCCTTAAAATTAGCCAATCAAATTACTACACCTTAAGTAAGATTGAAGGACCACCTAGTAAAACTCTTTGCCTGGTACTATTTGTAAAAAATACGTAATCACAAATAAAGTTCTACTACATGTACTTTCAAATCTTACTTTATGATATGATTGGAGGATGTGATAGGTTATTTTCTTTATGTGGGCTCATGTAAAAGTGTCTACATCAAAATTTTAAGTGTTGGAGTAAAAGTTAAGAGTAAAGAAGGAGAGTACATATATTATTTTTTTTCACAAATATCATGAATTGTCAAGTGTCAAATCATTAAATATCTATAAATTGACCGAACTTACAGCTAATTTTATTACAAAATAATTAAATAAAATCACACAAATTGAAACATTCAGAGTAATTTTGTATTAAAAAGTTGGGATAATTAGTATTTTCCAAACTAAATTCTATAAAGAGTTTGTTTCAATTTGTTATCATTCAATTATATTGGCTTTTTCACATATATCGCTTGATTTTGATTTTATTCGCTTTTAATATTTGATTTTGACAAAAAAAAAAAAAAAAAAAAAAACAAAAAAAATCAACAAATCGTATTTCAATTTTTAAAAAGTTGCATTTCAGTTCAAAATACCTAGTGAATTTTTTTTCTAAAATCTACCACAATAAATATGAGAACAATAATTTAAGAGTTAATTTCATTTTTTATTATGAATTTATAGGTGATATTCTACTTTTATTCTATTTTTTTTAGAACATTTTCGATTGGTCGTAGTATTATTTTGGCATGACCATTTTTTGTTTATCTTCGTCAACAAACATGTTTAAATGACATTAAATATGAAGATATTTCAGTCTATCCAGTTCTAAGTATTAATTCATTTTTTGGTACTAGATTTATATGTGTCATTCTACTGTCGCAGAGACTCAGATTGCATAGGCGCTGTTGCGGAGGCGTGGATTGCAATTGAATAAGACATGAGACTCTAGCTTTGAATTATGAATTTTTTAATGATCATAATAATAATAATAGCGGGTCAACTCACTATGTATAAAAAGATCGAAATGCCCTCATATTTAATATCATTTAAATTGGTTTTTGGACTGAGGATCAAAAATTATTATGTCACAATAATACTAGGATGAATAGAGAATGACATTCTAAAAAAAAAAAGACTAAAAGTAAAATGACACCTACAACTCTAGAACTAAAAATGGAATTAACTCATAATTTAAATATTTAAACTGAAAAATAACAAGGCCAAGCATAATGTGCATAGAAATACCATAATTGTGGGATTAAAATTAGAATACAGAGCATTTAATACGGAGGGCAATCTGGTCATTTAGCATTAAGAGTACAGATCTGGATTGGATAAAATGGTAATAAGAAGAGATGAGGAATGGCAATTGCGTAAAGCAGTAATTAAGTAAACCGCATCCTATATAACAACGGACCACTCTTTCCGGTCTGCTCTATAAGTTGACATTCGTCCTTAGCAAGTAGAGTTCAATTTCACCACTTCTTTTCTTTATATCTTTCAAAACAAGCCAATATTAGTCCCCTTTCTATCTTCCCAAAACTCAACAACCACCATGGCTATGGCTTTCAAGATGGTTAGTACCTTTCCGATGATTATTGTAAGTTAAATGTGCTGTGATGATTATATATAATCCGTGTGTTTAATTTGTGTATGTATAGGCGACTACGGGGATGTGGGTAACTGATGAATGCAAGAACTCGTTCATGGAGATGAAGTGGAAGAAGGTGCACAGGTACATAGTTTTCAAGATTGACGAGAAGTCCAGGCTGGTCACCGTCGACAAGGTCGGCGGTGCCGGAGAAAGTTACGACGATCTCGCCGCTTCCCTCCCCAAAGACGATTGCCGATACGCGGTGTTCGATTTCGACTTCGTCACCGTTGATAATTGCCGGAAAAGCAAGATCTTCTTTATTGCCTGGTCCGTTAGTCGCCGGAAAATCAAGATTCCGTTTTTTTTTTTTTTTTGTTTTATTTAAATAAAATTCTGTTTTTGATCGAATGGGTTGGTGCAGGTCACCGGCGGAATCAAGAATTAGGGCAAAAATTCTGTATGCGACGTCGAAAGACGGGCTGAGGAGAGCACTGGACGGGATTCACTACGAAGTTCAGGCGACCGACCCGACGGAGATGGGGATGGATGTGATTCAGGAGAGGGTGAAATAGATGAATGATGAAGGAGAGCTGTCAAAATCATCTTTTTTAAGCACTATATATATACGATAATAATAATAACTCCACTAAGTGTCAATGTTCGTTCTTCTTTAATTTTGTTGGCTACTGTACTGTGACGCCTACTTCCTTCTTCATTCTCTTGTAAGATCTATCTCTCTAATGTTGCCTATCCTCAGCTTAATCCTCCTCCTAATCTTCTGTAATAATTGTCTTGTCTTTTTCACCTAATTTAACCCCACATAATTATACCTTTCCTGTTTTCTCTTCCATCTACACGTCTGCTTCTTCTGCTTTTGTGTCAAACGTTGCTTTTAAGATTAATGCTCCACTAATCTCGAATTAATTAAAGATTCTTTCTAAGCTGCCATTTCTATGGGCTATGGCAGACCATGAGTAAAATGGACTTTTACCTTGTCAGTGGCAATTGTAATTTTTTTTTTTTTTTTTAAAAAGATTACGAGGAAAATTCGTCGTTGATGTTTACAATGTTCACAAATCACACACGAAAAATAAGAGTTAATTCTATTTTTTGTTATTCTTCCAAAGATTGAACTCCAACCTTAAGGGGCCCCACACTCTGACCCGAGTTAATTCTATTTTTTGTTATTCTTCCAAAGACTGAACCCCAACTTTAAGGGGCCCCACACTCCGACCCGACAGAGCATTTGGGGTTCAGCCTTTTGGAAAAATTTCTATTTTTTGTTATAGATTTATAGGTGACAATTTACTTTTAATCATTTTTTATTATAACATCATCATTTGGTCATAGTATTATTGTGGCAGGACTATTTTTAGTCCTCCATCTTTAAAATCATTGAAATATCATTACATTTTTTAATCTTTTTTATATAATATAATATGTTGAATGACTATATTTTTTATGTTTATTTTTTTTTGAAAACATTCATAATTAAAGACCAAAATATCATTGTATTTAACGATATTTAAACTTGATACTGCTAACTCTACGTAAGCAATATAAAATAACACAAGACCAATTAAAGCAAGCAAAATCTTTATTGATCCCGGTAAAGGCCCTAAGTACAATCTACTTGGCTGCTCTGAGTACCGACTGACTGCGGTCGGGATTCTCTAACAACAACCTATCGATCGTCCAAAAGTCCCTTACACTGTAGCTACTGTGGGTATTTATAGCTGCTAGGCCGGGGACAGGATTCCAGCCGTTCGGCATGTCCTCCACGTAGCCACCACGTGTCATCCTCCCGGGTGCCCTGCCTGTCGATGTAAAGAGCCGCCACGTGTCCTTTCATGTCCTTGTGCCAGGCTCTTTTGTCAAAGGGCTACCGCTCGGTGGTTGACATCAGCGCTCGGGCAATTCCGACCGTTCCCGATCGGGGTCTCCATGAAGAAAGCCCGACCTGCTACCTGCAAAGACCAGAAAAAGAAGACAAAGGCAAGTCGGTCGTGATGGAGCTTATGACGGTCGGGATATTCCCTACCAAAAGCCCCCCAGCCCGGGCCTTTTTGATCAGTCGGGAAAAAACGGGACGGGATGAAGAAGCCCAACCGTCAGGCACCAAACCGACCGGCCAGCTGTCATTCCCCTCTCCGCCACGTGTCGGCCACTGCCGGCCTCGACGACTGCAATCGTCGCCTCGGAATCAGCGCCAATCGTGTCACGCAAGTGGATCCGTTTTCCCGCCTAAATGCTCTTCTATAAATAGGCCCTTGAGGCCCTCATTTGAACTTTCCTCACTCTTTCGCATCAGTCGGTACCCTCAGAGAGTCCCGAGCAGAGCAGCTTAGCAAGGCAGTCGAGCAAGCAAACTTCAACTTTCAAGCTTCCTTCAATCGGTAAGCTCTTAACCCTCCTCTTTACTTTAGGCTCTCATTTATAGGTAGAACTGCTAGGTCAACTAACTGTCCCGGACGTCTCAAGTCCTTACTAACTCCGACCGACCTTTAGGTAGATCGATATGACGGACTCAGACAGTCAAAACGCCTCGATTGCTGATTACGACGAGGAGGTCGAGCACCTCAGCGACGAGGAAGTGGACATTATGTCCTACACCCCGGACGCCAGCCCCCGAGCAAGCCGCCGAGCGAGACAACGCATCAAGCTCCTCTGGATCGTCAAGCTCAAGCTCGAGCGGATCGGGGAGTACCAGCGAGGAAGAAAAAGAAGCAACAACGTCGGGGAGACAAGGATCCCCGACTGAGGGCGCTAGGGAAACGCCCATCCGGGTGGTAGGGGACCACCCGGACACTGCTCCTCGAGGGGGCGATCGAGAAAATGCCCCCGAACAGACCGAAGAAGACCCGGCAGGGCCGGCCACACCGGCCGACGAGCTCGAATTCTTGAACAGCGAGAGTGTCGAGCAAGAGATGAGCCTGCTGACCAAAGGCGAAGCGGCTCGGATTGCTGAAATACTCCGGGGTCGAGTAGAATTCGACACGAGCCGGCAGCTGGGAAACGTGATTGACAGGCATCGGGGCAAGTGGATCGGGATGCACTACGACTCCCTGATGGCCCCGATCGCCATTCCCTTCACCCCCCTCCTGAACGCCTTCTTGGCCTATTACCGGGTCGTCCCGGCCCAGATCTGCCCGAACGCACATCGGATCCTGGCCTGCTTCCCACAGATATGCACTCGGCACGAGGCCGAGTGCACGATGGAGTTGTTTAACTTCATCTACCAGATCAAGGTTCTCCCAGGCCGCTACGGGGGTGGGTTCCTGATGCTGCAATCCCGAGCAGATATGTGCTCCATAAAAGGCCTGCCCAGGAACAACAAGGGGTGGAAGAACAGAATTTTCTCCATCAAATACGACCCCTGGATCCTCCCGGTCGACCGCACTTGGAGCAGCCATTTTAGGAAGCAAGTGGTGCCAGACGCGACCCAGGCGCTCAAGGAAACGGTCTCCCGGATCTCGAGCGAGCTGCATGAGTACACCATCTTCCGGACGGCCGAGAGTCTGGAAGCCGCCAAGCTCCCGCCCCCCACGTACGAGCTACGGGAGAAGTACCTGCCCGTTCCGATGGGCGTGACGGTCGCCAAGCCGTCAAAACGAAAGAAGAAAGGTTTGGCACGAGCTACTTCTCTCGACCTGGCTTATTATCTCGATCTAACTAACTTTCTTGTTTTGCAGCTATGGCCGAGTTCGGTGATGAAGACACCGCCCTTCCCCCGCCGGTCAAGATCTCCCTCGGCGGGAAGAAGAAGGCCAAGACCAAAGCGGCCGGGGAAAAGGAGATTCCCTCTGCCCGACCTCTGAGCGCCTCGACCGTGACGACGGGCGAGGGCTTCATCGTGGAGCAGCCAGACGTCCTGGTCACTCGGGTGGAGGTCGCCCAGGGAAAGGAGAAGGTCGCCGACAAGGGCGCGACCGAGGCGGGCGGCATGAAGCGCCGCCGCGACCAACACAGCCCGACCCCTTCGGCCAGGCGGGAGAGGGAGCCTACATCCGTGCTGGCACGGATCGGCAATGCCGCGCCAGCCCGAGCGGACCTGGGGAAGATGACCCCGACCCAGGTTGCTGAGCGGATCGGCTACGATCTTGCTGAGGTAAGTCCCAACTTTTAATCTTTCTTTGCCCAAGTATCGTTGATCGGGCTAATCTTGAATATTCTCTTTGTATTGCAGATCTCCCGGGCGACCCAACTTCTTCAGGGTCAAGCTATGCTGGCCGAGGAGGCTGATCACCACAAGAAGACGGCCGCTCGTCGTCTGAAGGAGATCAAAGAGCTCCAGGCCGAGCTGGAGAAAACGCAAAAGGCCCTGAAGAAGGGTGACGAGGAACGGGTGCTTGCCGAGAAGGTCGCCAGCCGGGCGATTGGGGAGGCCAAGGAGCTGAAGGCTCAGCTCGAGAACCCGTGCGAGCTGGCGCGGGCAGCCTTCAAGGACAAGGACCTGGGCTCGGCCTTCCTTACTGAAGCCCGGGGAACAGCGATCGGTGAAGAGCTGATCGTCTCGTTCGGCCGCTGGGGTTTTACGGCCGGGAAGCGGAAGATGCTCGAACGAGTCCGCACCCGGTTGGAGCAAGCTTTGGATGTGGAGGACCTTCAGCTGGTCCTCTCGGTCTTGCCCCCAGACCTAGCCGATCCCGGTCCCTCTCCCTTCGCCCCGAAAGCCAAGGCGTCCGAGCCCGGGGCATCGTCGGCGGCCCCTTCGAGCGGGAAGGAAGCAGCTGCTGGAGCTCGGGAGGCGAAGAAGTAGGCTAGGCTTGTCTCCCCTTTTTTGTAATGACGATTGATCGGGAGCCCGGTCCCGAATTGTACCGGGCGCCTTTTGTTGATTAATAATATTTATTTTTGCTCTAACTTGCGTCGTTCGTCTTTTATCTTCTTGCTTTTCATTTTTCACACACTGATCATAATCACTCGACCACTTGGCCTTTAGACCCGGTCTCGCGACACTCGATCCGCTCAACGCCCGATCTTACGACCTTATGGCCTGGTCGTGCGTTCGATGTTTCGACTTCAAAACTGGCCAACCGATCAGGTTTACCCGATCTCCGGGCCTTTGTCGAAAAAATTTTCAAGCCTCTACGGTCGGAATGTAACCGAGCGACGGGCCGAGAACAAGCAAGCCTCTACGGTCGGAATGTAACCGAGCGACGGGCCTTGTACCATACTTCCTTATCCCAGCCCCCACACTATTGTGCGCTCGAGGCACGAGTGGGTGCGATAGTGGACAGAAGTTGGACGGATCGGGGAATAATGCTGAGAGCTCCTGGCTTCCCCGATCGGTGGCGTGACTTGAGTGTCCGCCTATGTGGAGCGCGTTTTGACCGGTCGACAGACTTCGCCCGATCGATTGAATGTTGAACTGATCTGCTCATGACGAGGGTGAAAGAAAATAACCGATCGTGCCGCCGCATACAAACGGTCGAGCAATCATCGATCGTATATACATTAAACTTTCCCGCTCGCAGGCGGTTGAACTAATTTTACAACCATAAAATTTACATAGAAATGACGACCGGGACTAACTCGCAGGTCCAGCCCCCACTTCGTCTAAAAATACAAAAAATAGGCTAATGCCTAAAAAGAACGAGGTGCTCGGAATTCCAAGTCCCCTCTATTAGCCGACCCGTCGTTGTCTCTAGTCGGTATGTTCCCGGCCGGATGACAGCGTTGATGATGTACGGCCCTTCCCAGTTCTGAGCTAGCTTTCCCCCTTCTAAAGGTTGACTGGCCTCCCTTCGTCGTAAGACATAATCTCCGACATGAAAATAACGAGGGTTGACCCGAACGTCCTTCGAGCTCTTGACGCGCTTCTGGTACTCGGC